AATTTAAGTTGTTCTTTCATTATTCAGCAGTCCACAATTTCAGGTGAAACGTTCCTTAAATGGAGTAAGGTTCGTATCAAAAGGCCAGAAGACAGAAAAACAGCCATCAGTGTCACAATATTTTCACCACAAACAGTACATCACTTAATTTTCTCTAGAAATTAAAATTCTGGTAACTGTTTTCATCAAATGTAACTACAAACTTAGTTCATACATCTAAATATGCCCAAATTTAAAATACATTTTAGGATTAAAACATTAGGATGTCTGATAGAAAAAGTTTTTACTTACTCTTTCCCATGTAAGCTCTTCTGCAGCTCGGTCCCATTCTAAAGCATTCCAGTTCATGTCATCTGGAAATATAATTGCAGTTTAAAGATTGCTGATGGTACTTGAACTAAAAATAATAAAACACACTCTTCTAACTTAGTACTTAGTACGCTATTGTTGAGAAGCTAAACCACATTTAAAATTTTTCCATACTGAGTATCTGATTGTTAGGCAATAAATAAGAGTACATAACATACATATAAATAAATAATACATATAGAATAAGATGATCCTAGATTAAGTATTAAAAAGGAAATAAAACAGGGTTATATGAAAGAGAGGAATTCAATAGTTCTGAGTTAGGAATGAATCTGGTGGATTTAAGAAAAGTAAGGAGGCCAGGAGACTAGAACTTTCTGAATGACGATTAGAGAAAGGCAGGCAGGGATCAGATCATACAAGAGGAATGTGGAGTTTGGCTCTTATTTTATTCTTTAGTATAATGGAAAAACCACTGAAAGATTTAAAGGCAAGAGGGTAGGGACTGGGTGCTGTGGCTCACGCCTGTAATTCCAACACTTTGGGAGGCAGAGGCAGCAGGATCACTTGAGGCCAGCAGTTCAAGACCAGCCCAGGCAACAAAGCAAGATCCCTGTCTACAAAAAATAAAATTTAAAAAATTAGCAGGGCATGGTGGCATGCACCTATAGCTCTAGCTACTTGGGAGGCTGAGGCAGGAAGATTGCCTCAGCCCAAGAATTTAAGGCTGTAGGTGAGCTATAATCGTGCCACTGCACTCCAGCCCAGATAATAGAGTAAGATCCTTTCTCAAACAAACAAATAAAATAGAGACCAGAGAGTGATAAGAACTATGCTGGGCAAGAACAGGAAGACGACCTGTTAGGAGTTACTGCATTAGATCAAGAAAGAGAAATAACAGCAAGCACTAGGGTAGCAGCAGGCTACACTTTCCGAGCCTCTGACCTCTCCCTGCAAAGGTCACTTACTCTTACTACACAAGTCACTTCTTCTCACCCTTCAAGTCTCAGCTCAAATATCACTTACTCTGCACTACCTTGGGAAATCTTATATAAAACAGGTCTCTCCGCATCTTCAAAGCAACCTGCACAACACTTAATCACAATTATGTATTTCCTACTTCTTCACCAGACCAGAAATTCCATGAAGGCAGGGACCCGGTGTTTTGTCACAACTATTTAATATATACCCAGTGTCCAGTAGTGTCCCTAGCACAAGAAGACACTCAAATATCAGCCATCTCAAGTGGACCCAGAGACAGTGCAGTGCTTGAAAGAAAAACTCTGTGGTGGGAAGAAATAATGAGACACACAGTAAGTGACTGACAGGTGACTAGCAGACCAGTCTTTGCTCTTATTTTACATTCTGGAATTTACACTGCTAGAAAATGAGAAATTGGTTTCTTTAGGTGTACCTGGTCTGCCGTGTACGCTTTAAGAATTTTGTATTTTAAAAGTTGTAGCAACTCAATGGAAATGGAATGAGAGAAGAAACGAATAAGATAAATCTCTATCAAATTCCTTTTTAAAAAAAGGTAGGCTCTATTTCCAACCTGAAAAAAAATTTTCTTCCTATCCATCCTATCAAAAATGGCCCATGTAAAGGAGGGTTTTGAAACACAAAATGTACCCTGCTTCATAGAAAAAAACTTATTTATGCATATGTATATCCATAAATGCCAGTTTGCCAAAATAAAGTAAAAAGAGGCTAGAAATAGAACTTCAAAGCATTAAAACATGAGAACTCCAGTCCTTTTGGCCAGTGCAAGTTGAGAACATATTCACAGTCCTGAAGAAAGAGTTAGGACACACAAGCAGCCATACCCTGGGCTCCGTTATTAGCATCTGCGGCATCTTCCACGCCGGCATCATCTTCCTCCTCATTGTCCTCCTCCTCCTCTTCTGCCTGATCATCCTGCGCGTCGGGGTTTTCCCCTACCACTGCATTCTCAGCTGGTGGGTTAGCAGGCTGATCAGCGGCAACATTTTCTGCACCATTTCCTCCTGCTGGAGCCTAAAATGACAAAAGAGCCCA